TAAGCTGCTTCTGAAGTTTGCATACAAAAAGAGAGGCCTAAAATTTAACTCTGCTGATAGGTTGAAACATCTTATGCAAGCAGAGGGTGAGGGTGTGTGCCAAGGAATCAAAATCCACATTGCTACTGAGAATTGGCATACTGAAACCTTTGGAAGCAACCCAAGCTGGTGGCACTAGCTATGTCCTTTGAAAATGGACCTGTGAACTAAGTCAGTGGTCCTGAACCAGAGGTGGGCATACGCTGGTGATAAACAGAGGTCTTCCATGTGGTACTCAACTCATCTAGCTGGAGGTTGAAAGACAGGTATAGGATTGTTGCAAGATCGGGCCCCTTAAAGGTAAGACACATGCTCACCAATAAAAAACGGGTTCAAATATCACACTATAATATATACACATTTATATTCCAGTTGATTTTATAATTATATAGTAACAGTGAGAAAGTTATCCATTTTTCAGTAACTGCTGTGATACTCTTGAATTTGTATGTTTGGTTTTGTGAACAACTCGTTTGAGTTGAAACTTGGGGGCACACAAGACAAATCAGACTTCTGAAAGGGAGGGGTACAGTAGTCTGGAAAACTTGAAAGTCACTTCATCAAAGTGTTGACAAAAACAAATACTATGAATGCAAAAAATACTTACTTTTGTCTCCAGCCATAATTAATTCTAAAGTCATGCAGTTTCTTGTGCCATATCTGTGCCTTTAAGTATTATCCTTTCAGCTCAGATGTCATTTATCAGTGCCAGAGTAGCTAACAAATCTGATTAAAGCATGCAAATATCTGAGCGTTCAAAGCAAGAACTAAATATTTTATCTAATCTGCCGATCCCGGAATACAAATTTAAAGGAACTGCAGTTCCTTCAAATGTAATGAACATGACAGCAAAGTATGTAGCAAAACTCACAAAACATACCATATTCCAGCAATCCAAAAAAACCACCCCCATACTCCAGCAATCAAATAATAAAATGTAAGCTATTTAAAATTATGCTAAATCTTGCTGAGATTGCAGGACCACTTTTAAAAATTCTGCCAAACAGCATTTCTTCCAAGAGGCAGTTCAGAACTGATGCTACAGAAAGATGGTTATTTTTAAATGCCATTTACCATTGCTACATTTTGAGCATTAGAGTCCATGGCTGTATGTGCTGAATACCAAATGGAAGATCACTGTAAACAATGGCTGTTGTGAATTAGCACTAAAGTCATTGTCTCCCAGTGTTTGGTTTTTTTTAAATACAATGAAAAAAAAGCTATGCACGTTGTGAATATGTAGTGAATTCAATCAACTATTTCTACCAATGGTGCACGTTGTTGCCTATGGAAAGCTGCTAATAAAAAACAATTAGTACATAATGGCTACTGTAGATATGCTTTGGCATTATAGTTCACTGTAGTTCTGATAAAACGCGGTAAGGCTATGTCTGCAAGGTTTTTTGGCAAAAAAAAACTCGATGAGGGACTCATTAGCATGAGTTGCAACTTCATTAGCATATTTTCTGCCGTTTCCTTTTTGCACAAAAACCCCGTTTTGTGCAAGATCCTTATGCTTCTCCGGGACAGGCATAAGGATCTTGCACAAATGGGTTTTTTGCGCAAAGAGGAAACGTTCACGCTGCTTCTTTTTGTGCCAAAGCCCCTTGAGCAAAAAGAAAGGGCAGAAACTATGCTAATGATGTCGCAGCTAAGAAGTCCTTCATTAGTGCATTTTTTGCCGAAAAAACTCGTAGTGTAGATGTAGCCTAAAAGATAGAGAAATTTACACAGACAGCAGTTCACTTTGCACAGGTAGGGTAAGTATTTGTACTCGGATACCTGCTTGAATGACTGGCCCCCTAAAGCAAAAAAAAACCCCTCTAGTATTTAAGATTTTGTGTCTAGAGGATCTTGCACACCCTTCTCTTATCTGAGTGTAATTAAGTGAAATTATATAAACTTCATTAAATTTCTCAACGTCACTGAGATAGGTACTGTTCTGTGTTCTGCCTCTCAAATGAAGAAAGCTGAAATATGTTAAAGGCCAGAAATTTTTAGTAGAGTTCATCTCTGCATCAAAATGGAATGGTCCAATTTTTCACACATTTGACAACCAACAGTTGAAACTTTCAGAATTATGTGGAATCTCCATCTCCACCTCTTACGCCCTCCCCCCCCCAAAAATCACTTTTAGCCTTGAGGCCCAGCCAGCATGGGCAAAATACAGTCTTGAACCAGGGATAATTTTTGTATACATCATACTGTAAAGTCAGGTTATCTTTTCATGCTATAGGGCTAGGAATAGAAGTTTATCTGTGGAAAGAGGAGATGCCCGAATAGGGAACACAGCGCTTCTGTCTTTACCTAAAAGTCACAATCTTAAGGTTCAATATTTGGCTTTTGCAGGACAAAGTAGATTTCATGATTGTTACTGAGCCCCGTAGAGTAAGTTTAAGGAGGATGGCTTTACAAGTATTGGTTGAACCTTTCTAGTCTGGCACCCTCTGGACCTGACTGGTGCCAAACCAGAGAATTTGCTGGACCACGGGAGGTCAATACTGTCTAGCACCATTACTAATGCTTCCCCTGCTTACTGGGCTCTTAGAAGACACTTAGGGGTAAATTAGAGCTAAATCACAACCCAGAACACTGAGCCAGATCTGGTGGCTAATAAACAAACTATAGGACCCCAGGAAACTTGGCCACACTCATAAGTGGACATCTGGCTAACTAAAATCATGCCTGGCCATGGACTCTCTAAGCCAGAGTGTGCTGGACTAGAGAGGTTCAACCAGTAAAGGGATATGAGAGTCCAGGTTTTAAAAAAAAATCTTCAGTTTTCTGTAAGAAAAACTATATAAGAAGGTGATGGTGTGGCATATAGTAGATACTTACTGGCTCTTGGAATAGCTTACTTAATTCACTCTCTTAATAGTTCAGGTTTTATTAGCATGATTCTATCTTTCCCCATCACACAGGGCACTCTTCAAAAAGAACTGAAAACTGAGTAGACTCAAATACGAGGTTCTAGATTTCACTGTTAAACTTTTCCTTTTTAATATCCATCACCAGCAGAAGATTCTCTAAAATGATGGGGAGGTAATGTCTGTGGTAGGTTTGTTTAACACTATCATAGTCGTTATTTTATTCCCACTATTCTAGAGCCAAGATTACATCATCTCATGACCTCAAGCAAGCGGGACCTCTGTCTTACCTGGACTCTGCAAGATTGCATCTGTTCAGTCCCCTCAAACACTCCTGGTGCATTAGAGCACTACTAACTCAGAACATTTTGTTCTAGTTCCTGACTCATAACTAATACAGCACCCAGGAGTCCTTGGAGGCTGCTTGTGGTAAGCAGTATGGTACTCTGTATTCCAGTATGTTGGGAATATATTAATGATATATTAATAATATTGATGTGATGTGCTATTTTGAAATATCATTTTGGGGAAGGAAACCATCTGCAAAAAATAGCCACGAAATAATCTTTGACTTGTCTTTCTGTCTTTTCTCTGGCACACTTGACAATCAATTTTAGTGAACGTTTTCTGTATTGGGTGCAAATACAGAAATATTTAGTCAGGAGCTTGTGTTGCTCATTTAAATGTTTACCAAACTTCCCTGGAAAGTCTGCCCTTCCTAGCCTTGTGACTGGTAATTTCACAGTCTATTTATTTATAGCCATGGTAACCACCACACAAATGAAATCAAGTGAGGTTTCTGAGTTTGGATAGAACCAGCTGAAGCAGAACTCTTTGATCTGCAGTTAAGAGAAATATGTAGTAAGGACAAACTCCAAAAGGGTGTGCTCTCCCGACTTAATTAAAAAAAAAATAGCAAATCTCCAGTTGAAGATTGGCTAGAGAAAAACAAGCTTTTCCTCGTCCCTTGGGTGTTCCTGTGTATTTAAAAGATTTGAAGTATCTGGCTTTATTAATGCCACCACCCATTGAAAAATCATCTCTAGGGAACTACTGACTTGCAAATAGTGGGTATTATGAAGACATGTTTAGGGTATTTCTGGCATATGAAGAACCAGTTTGAGCTGTCTTTCTCGTCCTTAATATTGTATTGATGAAGTGATCGAGTTTCACATGTGCTGCTTAAGAATAGGCAGGTTTGCATGATGTGATGAGAGGAAATCGAAGGGTTATAGTCAACTGAAATTCTGTGCCTTCCCTGACTAAATTGAGAAACAGGCCCAGCAGTCGGGCAGGGAGAAATCATTCCCTCCTAGGCAGTTGTAGGGTTCGTGTGAGGACGAAGAGCTTAAGCGATGGAGCCTCCTCAAGTGTAGCTGCATCGCAACTGTATGTGTTGGGTCTAAGCATTTCCGCTGCTCCAGCTTTCTGAAGTCTGCCTCTCTCAGCCTGCAGTCGCTTCCCATTCAGGCTCACCTGAACTCTCACCAGTTTGGAGTGCGAGCGCTCTCACTTCTGCTGGTTTGGGAGCCGGGTGAGGAACAGAAGGAGGAAGGAACCAGCTGCTGCTGGACAAGCTCTGGTTCGTGGGCGGGGTGTCAGTTGCCGTGCTCACTCTGAAATGTCTTCCTGGGCTGAAAAAGCTACCTGCGTTAGAATGGGAACATCCCTGCTGTCAACCTGAGAGTCACACTGCTGCTGCTGAGCTGGCTGGAGTCTGACTCTGTCCAGAAGGGAACAGGTTTGGGCAGGCACATGCCAGAAATACTGATGTATTTTGGAAAGGCAAAGTGGAGGAAGGTATTTTGGGTTGCGTGTGGCTCCCTAAGCCTACTTCAGTGACCCAGCCGTTACGGGTTTGGTGCTATGGAAGTGATAGGCTGGATAGAGCCCTGAAAGTTCTTTATCGTATGGGGGGAAAAATCTATCGTTAGCCTCAACAGAGCTTCAAGTTGAAAAGTTTAACTGCTACTTGAGTCCATTCCAAGGCACAGTATCACTTTACCTACAAGCAAAAGGGGATCAAAGCATTCCCTCTGGATAGCCACTAGCAGCCCCGCCACCACAGTGCTGTTCAAAAGCAAAAGGGTACACAAAAATCAGTGGTGTAGAACCTAGAATCCCAAACTATGTTCTTCCATGTAGCTGGACCATTGGAATCCATGCATTCAAACCCAAACGTTAAGAAAAGTAGTTCGTACACCTAAGCAACGCATCCCAGATTTCACTTTGAAGCTGCTTTGTTCAGCCATCCATGGATGGTGGTGGATTTTCCCCCCAGTTATTCTAAGCTGTATTTTTTGTACCTCCGTACTTGTCTTGTTAAATTCACTAATTGAGAACCTCCATGCAAGAAGGGATTTGGAAATGTGAACAGTTATGTTTTGGAGTTGGTTGAATGAGAAATTTGAGATTTTTTTCCCCCTAAAAATAACTAATTTGTTTGGATTCAATAACACTTCAGGGTTTCTGCTTCTGGTGGAGTTTTGGAATTTGTGTGTGTAAATTTCTATTCTGCTAGTGTATCTTAAGCAGAACTAACCAATTTGGTTGCATTCTGACTGCAAATTCTCTATTTTCGTTAGAACACACTACCCAAGCTAATTTTTGACAGATTGGCTTTCAAACATGGTAAACTAAACTACAGGGCTTAATAAAAATGCAACTGGGGATTATATCGGTTTTTTTTTATAATGCTGTTCCAGATTATGTAATATTAGAATGAAAATAATTAGTCAAAGTGGAAAATATTGGTTGATAAATTGCACTTGATTAAATGTAAAACAGTTTTTATTTAGTTATGTGTAGGAGATACTGTACATTTTATAATTGACTTGAGTGGTAAATCCATGTTTACAAGTATACTCCTGGTTCCTACTGAGTGATGGTAGCCAGTAGTTTTTTTAAAGAAACTGGAGATTAAAACATACTGCAATCAGTAAAATAGAGGTCTCAAGCCTGCTACCATTGACAGCACTGGGAGCCTTGTTAGGGACTCAAACAGGATCAAGTTTGGATTTTGGTCTGTTTTACATGCTTAAGACAGAAAGGCGACTTGCCTTTTGCTCTATTTTTGTGCACCTGTGTGTCATATAATAAATTAGAAATATACTGATCAGTTTGTAATACTAGCGCCTCTCTAGAGATTGCAGTTTGTTGGGAATATTTTTTAATGGAGGGCTAGACATTTTGGAATGTAATTTTCATCCGTGTGCTGGAATTGTTTACATGCAAAGAGATTACATATTTAATTTTTGTAATCTGCCATGTGCAATTTTGTACATGCATTTTAAACTAAAAGAAGCTTATAAGGAAGATACGGTCTGTAGAGGACTTGGCCATGAGTATTATTTCTTTGATACAAATCTGAAAAAAATAAAATTTCTTTATATTCATCTTTGTGCTGTGTTTTGAAAATTTGGAAACTTCATTTCAATTCCACTTTCAGCTTAACTAAAACACATTTGCCGCTGCCTACATAGTCTGCATTCCTAACATTGAAGCCTAGCTGATTGCTTGTCTTAAATGTTACACATCTGCTAGGTACTTGCTAATTCTTCTGTCTTCCAGTGCTAGCCACGTTGCTCTTCTTCTCTTAGCATTCCAAGTTAGAGGTGGAAAAAGTAATCTATAAAAATGTTCAAAGAAGCAGAGTTCCCCAACAACTTCCCACTGACTACACAATTCACAACTCAAACTTGTAAGTCTTCTTAAAAAGCTTGCTTCAGCTTGTTTGTTCTCTTGCCAATAGTTTGAACTCTGAATAAGTCCTTGTCAGACTAGGGTTGACAGTAGCAGACTGGACTCCAGCTCATGTTTTTAAGGTTTGTGTTGTCTCAAGGCTAACTAGTTTTTCCACAGACTAGTCATACCTGAAAATGCCCATGGAGCAGATCTTTTGGATAAAGCAAATTCCTCTCCTGCCCCATCACTCTAACCATGAAATAGATTTTAATCCTGGGTGGAATGTAATAGTTTGGAAGTGTTATACTGCACAGTACATTTGCCAAGTACATTTGCTGAGCATGACAGTTTTCTCTCCTTCTGTAAATCTTGAGATTTCAGAAATATTCCCATTGTGCACTGAGGTGAAAAAGATACAGACCAACCCACCCTGGAATTGCTAATAACTTGGGGGTGGAGTGGGGTGGGTGGACTTAGCGCACTGTTTGGATATGGGGAAAATTAGTTCAAGTCCTTTATTTGAAAGGGACTTATCTCTCTGGTTTTGATCAGAAATTGCATCTTGGACCAGAAAGCTTCCTATGAAAATTTTTCATTTGACTAATCTGCCTTTGTTGATAAAGCAGTTTTGAATATACAGGCAGTCCCCGACTTACAAATGGGTTACGTTCCGAACACCTGGTCGTAACTCGATTTGGTCGTAAGTCGGAAGTACCCTTAAACGTGCTGCCTGCGCTGTTCGAAAAACTTGACTTACGTGGTTCTCAACTCGAAAATATTATAATGGGGTTAATGGGAGGTTGGTTGAAAGTCGGTGTGTTTGTAAGTCGGGGATTGGCTGTAGTAAGAAGTTACAACGGCCTGGCGTCACTCAGCCATATCATCAGTTGTTTGGATACTAGTTGTAAGCACTTGGCGAGAGCCCAGGGCTTGCTTTCTAGATGAAAGCTGTTCAGTTAAGACAGACATAAGTCCTATTTTGAGAATTTCTTTTCATAACCAACTTTATCCTGATGCCTGGCTCCCCTTGGAATTAAGCTGGTGGGAGAACAATAAACTGTCAAAGCTGTTATGAATGCTAACATGCCTTTAAAACAAATACAGATGCTCACGGGACATATTGTGTCTTTAGACTTACAGAGATCTGGAGGTTCCCAACCAGTGTTCACACATGCATGTAACTGGACGTGCATTTTCAGTAGGTCTGTCAGACAAAGTGTAAATGTATGAACTTTAGAGTACTTAACTTTGCAACTTCAACAGTGAATCGTTCTTAACGTTAGAAGATGCCACAGTTAAGGTTGTTAGTGCAACCTTAATTCAGGCCTCTGGGGCATTTATAATATGGCCGTCTTTCATTACATGACCAAACAGTTTTCCTTCCTACTGGACCCTGTGCATTAGGCAACCTTAATTCTAGGATTTCCTGAGTTGAGTGCTTCACTTTGCACCCTTCCATTCATTTGAAGGAGATGTCATAAAACAAAATGGAGGAACAGACATTCCATCATAGAGAATCACGTTCATCCCCTAAGGTGGGTGATGAGCAGGGGCCAGACCTTTAGATCTGTAGCACACATGTTTACCACTGGAGATTGCTACCAGTTGCCCAGTTATCTTCTCTGTGGACTTGCCACTGGAGGGGGTAAAGAGCTTTAAAATGCCAAAGTACATTAGTTAATGCTCAGGACTCCCAGCTTCAATTCCAGGTGCTGGAGGGAAGTGGTTTGGGCCGCGCCCCCCTATTTCACCGATATACACACCTTCTTTGACACCAGCTCCTGTTCCCCTAGCCTTCTGCTGTCCCTCTTGCCCCTCCTTCCTGCTTTCCAAAGGGGCTATGGGGCCAGGCACCTTAGCTACAAAGGAGCAATAATTGCACTAAAAGCCCTTCTCAATCCAGGGCTGGAGCATGCTCAGCATCAACGGAGTTGCCAGATAATTTAGTTTCTGAACTAGTCTATTGAACATGTGCGGGTTGAGTTTCTGGGGAAGCTTTTAGCATAGTCAGATGCTGAGCACATTTTCACTGGGACACCAAAAAGCACCTCCCTAACTCCAGAAGTGTCTGCGTCAAGCACGGGGGCCCGAGAGCTACTCAACGAAGCATGATAAGAATTAAGAGGCAACACATTTCCTGCACCTTGTTTTTAGAAAAAGTTCCTGCATTTTAGTGACACATTTATCCAGAAATTCTGCTTAATGGAGCCACCTGCCCTGGAGTGGTTTTGCTGGAGAGAGAAATGTTGGATTTAGGGGGTTGCTACCAGTTCTACCTACAATGGGGTGAGTATACATATAGCTGCACCGTCCACTTGCTATTAAAGGCATTTAGCTGAGAACGGTCATTACCTTCTGGGCAAACTCAGGTTTATTATCCACATGTGCCTCTTCAGGCGTGTCCCATTCTCTGCCAACTCCCACACCTCTTGTTTACGTTCAACGTCCTGTCCCCCCAGATCTCAAATAGGTCCTGTTGTGCTCCTTCAGAATCTCTTCCATTCCAAAGCTCCATATCTGTGGGGGGGTCCTCATATCTCCCTAGAAGAATGAAAGCCCCCGCATTTTTGGCCTAATCTCTAGTAGTTCACATCACAGTGGGTGGCTCGCTTCTCTTTCCCACCCTGAAGTGGAGACAGTTTCCTAAAGGATGGATATTTTCCCCAACTGCAGCCTCTTTAAAAATGCCTGTGGGTCAATCACATATTGACAAATGGAGTTTTGTCCCCTGCCTGTGCTCCTCGTTGATTCCCAATTTCTGGGATACTACTTGGAGAAATAATACTTCACTGACATACGCCACTAGGCTAGTGCTGAGGTATGTTACACAGTGCTGTTTCTACCCCTGGGGGCCGGGAATAGAAGATGGTGAACAGAAGTTCATACTTCACCCTAATAGCCGCTCAATGCCATTACTGCTCTATGAACAGCTCTGCATTTGCTAACCAGGGAGGTTACGTCTACACTGGCATGATCTTGCACAAAAACTCTTTTGTGGAAGAGTTCTTGTGCAAAAACTCTTCCAGAAGAGAGCGTCTACACTGGCATGTGCTTTTGCACAAGAGTATCCATGCCAGTGTAGATGCTCTCTTGTGCAAGAAAGCTCTGATGGCCATTTTAACCATTGGGCTTTCTTGAGCAAGAAATTCATGTTGCCTGTCTACACTGGCCTCTTGCGCAAGAGGGCTTATTCCTGAGCGGGAGCATCAGAGTTCTTGCGCAAGAAGCCCTGATTTCATACATTAGAACGTCAGTGTTCTTGTGCAAGAACTCGTGGCCAGTGTAGACGGCCAGCAGTTTTTGCGCAAAAGCGGCTGCTTTGGCGCAAGATCGTGCCAATGTAGACACAGCCGGAGTGTTGGGTGACCACCTGCTTGAGGCTTAGCTAGGGAGGAGCTCAGCCTGTGAGTATCTTGGAATGGTGCTTCACAGCCGGGCCAGCTTAACAGGCCAATTAGCTGGGGAAACTGAACTGCCGCGTTCCCAACAAGAGGATGGATATAACGCCTGTTCTGAAGGCATGTACCTGTGTTATGGCTTGGGTGAGTTACCATCCTACCAGTATTTACTTGGGAGAGAAAAGAAACTAAATTGCAAGTGAGGTCAGTGTTTGGGGGAGCGGTTGCAGTGAGGGGGTTAGAAAAACTCCGTACAAGGGAGAATGCAGCATAAGATGTGGAAGCTGAGACCGTTCTCCATGCCGCACACACCTGGTGGAAGTACAAAAGTCTCATCTAGAGAGCAGAACCACTTGGGAATGAAACCGCTGAAATTCATGTTGTTATTTACCCCTGTTATTTCTGCTCTGAACTCGCCCTGTAAGGGGTTAAAACCCAGCCAGGGAGAGGGCTGGCACTGTGCAGCCAGCAGCTATGGAAGGAATTAGCCAATTAGGGCTCAGCTGAGGGCAGTATAAAGGCTCCTGGAAGGGACGAGTGGATGACTCACTCTTGATGTGGAGCAGGAGAGACCTGGCTGCCAAGGAAGCTGGAAGATTCCTGACCTAGAACAGGGCTGGAGAAAGGCCGGCAGGGCTGGGCAAGCTTTGGCCAGGCAAACTCCGAGGTTGCAGGGCCTGAAGCAAGGCCTGAGGGAACGAGGGCTGCAGAGAGGCCGCAAATGCAGCAGGTCCATCCCCCTTGCCAGTGATGAGTGGCCAAGCCAGACTGCAGTTTGCCCTGTGGCAGGGGCTAGATGGAGACTGGCAGCGGGTCACTGAGGCAAGGTGTGCATAGGGGGTTGGAGGTTCCCTGAGGGGAAGTACCCAAAGAGGAGAACGCGAAGGTCTGGGAGGGATGTGTGTCCTAACACAGCTGAAAGGGGGCGCTCCATCCCAGAAAAGTTAATTTGCAGTATGCCCAGCAGGAGGTGCCCATAGCGGTGAGTCATGCCGTGTTACACCCACCATGCCCCAAAGTTAGCAAATCTCATATCTCAGAGGGATCAGGGCAAAGATAAGACTTGTTTCTACCAGGGGGTTGCCACTCTCAATTCACAGATGTGTCAGCATTAAGGGTACATCTAGACTACAGGCTTTTGTCGACAAATGCTTTTGTCAACAGAGCTTCTATAAACAAAGAACGTCTAGACTACATCCAGTTCTGTCAACAAAGCAAGCCGCTTTGTCTACATGACATGGTAGACGCAAAGGACAGTGTAGATACAATAACGCCTTCTGTCGACAAAAGGTGTTATTTCTCGTAGAATGAGG